AGGAATCAGAATACATATAATATTAATATATATACATATATATATATATACATATTCATATATATATATATATATATATATATATATATATATATATATATATATATATATATATATATACATAAACATAAATATACATATATATAGACATATATATATATAATTTTTTTCATTATGCTTTTTAAATACAAAACAGTTAACAATGTTGTGTGCATTCATTAGAACATGAAAAAATTACCCATTATGGAATTTTTCTTTTGTGTTATAATGTCATGGTGACGCGTGTATTAAATCACGAAAAAACTGTTCGTTTACAGGCATTTCAGTACATTACTGCAGAATTAATAAGTTTATTCTGTTCAGTGCCGCTTTAATTTTTTAATATAAATGTGTATTTGACGTATAACGAACACACACACACACACACATATATATATATATATATTTCGGAGATACATTCTCCCAAAGTCTATTTAATTTGGCATATAATGTTGGTCCATGCATAATGAATAATTACGTCAAAGGAAAACAACGCATATCTTTATATAAATACTTATACTAATGAACAACATATAGTTTCACTTGCACCCTGAAGATGATCTTGAAGAAGATCGAAAGTACTTGGGAAATGAAAATAAAAAGAAATTTAAACAGCTATAGCACGGAAGGGTATTCGTGAGTATGAACGGATTTTATTAAAAATTAGCAGACATAATGTCTGTAATTTATTCAATCAGACATGTCTAAAAGAGAATTCGCTGCCTAAATACACACACACACACACACACACACACACACACATATATATATATATATATATATATATATATATATATATATATATATATATATATATTCCTTCCTTAACTAAATTTTCTATGCCTGATGATGACTGGACGTATAGTCAAAATTATTTGCATATTTAAAGAATAATACAGTTTTTAAAAAAATCCACAATAACAAGGATCATAAAATCCATTAATGTTAATGCATTTTTAAAATTTAGTTAGCGAATGGATTTCGCCATTTTATATCATTAACAATAATAATTTACTTTTTGTGTGAATGATTCATTGTAATATAAATTGAGCTGCACCACATATTTGATTTAAAAGAACTGATCCGACGTGCAAGGCTTTGGGATGACAACTGAGTCGTTTTTTGAACGATATATTTCATGCCGTTGACTGTTAAACGCCAACAAAAAAAAAAAGAAAATTAAATTGCGATATTAGTAAAAAACTTGGCGTTGCGACTGCACGCTCTACAAGTTTGTATCCTTTATAAATAACATAATAAAAAATATTTGGATTCGCATTATATTTTTTCGTCTACTGAGGGATGATTGAATCTTTGGCCATCACGCAAACACTTCGTGATTTGCACCCACATCCTCTTGCGTATCCGGTTAAGGACAAAGCGAACACACGTGGCGATTTTCGGGAACAGCAAAAATCTTTTAAAAAGTTTTCAGTTTCCCGTCTGACCAATGGCAGATGCCTGTTTCCAAATGGACTGCCTATCGAAATAAAGATGATAGCAAAGGCTGTCGACTAGAGACTGAAAGGACTACAACGAAACTGAATCGACCAATAAACGCCTGCACAAGATTCTGTGTACCCCGGTCATTCTGAAATAAAAGGAATCCATGGAAATTGCCGGCTGATAAAATATTGTTTCACATTAGAACTCTCGCTTCGGCGAATTAGAACTCTGCGTGGAGATATCATCAACACAACTGACCCATCAGAGACAGTTAGGTTGATTTCTTGGCTTGATCTTTTTATATATCTGTATTCGCTCTTACCTTCTGTTATTTCATGATCTATTTCCCGTTTGTTAAACGAACTTTTCTTTTATTAAGTGTTTCTGTATTTATAAATAAATGTTTTATTTTGAAATCCATCGTCTTGCGTCAGTTTTTCGCTGACTCCTTGTGTCCTTGCATCCTTGAGTGAAGACCGAGAAAGGATCACGTTTTTCCTTTTTTTAACCCGTGGTTCACATATATGCTACAAGTTCGTAACAATATATATGTATATATATATATATATTGTGACGAATGCTGATAACCTAAACACGCATATATTAAGGTTAATCTCCGCCTGACAACAGAAGATGTCACGTGGGAATCTCAGACATTTTGGGAAGGCAAGTCATGAGGTTGACTGACCCAATTACATGTAGCAACAGACGTCTAGACATAAGCTAGTCAGGGGACTGACGTAAGGTCGTGAAGCAGCAGGAACTGGAATTCGCGCCAAAATGCAGGACACGTGGGAATTAGAAAATTAATTGGAAGTCAGTTGCTGTCTTGTCTTTGAAGGGCAAGACTCGAAATCGAAGCGCTGATAACTTATGAACTGAAAGATGAGACTCATTTTGAAAATGATGGAACTTGTCCAATTCATCATAAAGCAATTCCGGATAAAAATATAAGGATGTATATTTCTGTTCGTCAACTCCAGATTGAAGAAGAAAAATTGAGTATTTATCACAGAAGACGCAAGGAAATTTGCACGCTGAGAATACTGCCTGTGTTTGAAGACAAGAAAGAGAAATCAAGAGAGAAGAAGAAAATATATATCTCTGTTGCAGCCGGGCCGTGTTTTAAATTGAATTTGTGTAAAAAGAAAAGAAAGAAAAAAAAAAAACGTGAGAGAGAAAAAAAGGACAATGAGTAAGAGAGAGAACTGAATATAAAGATAAGTAACTATATATTTTGGACCCGTGTTAGAAAGATACACATGCATCCACAAATTTTAGGTTCTCACAAACCCCTTTCCACATGTCAAAATAGTAAAATATAAATCCTATCCCATCTCTTTCTTTTTTTTTTTTTTTTGGTCATGCGTTGATTTCTGCATTCGGAGTTATTCATACTTATTTTTTTTATCCGTTCGGGTTCAGTCGAATCCACTTGAATTTGGGCATATTTTGGTATCCCAACATAAGTCTTGAGATTCTGGTCGTCCGATGTTTTACTCATGCATATATTTTTCTTTTATTTTAATATTTTGTGTATATGTATATATTAAAATTCTTATACCAAAATTCATTACGCCTTATCGTTCAGCCTTGAATTGTGGATCAGTATTCGTGTTGAAACCGAAGCGAACCTGGGAAAAGATTACTGTTCGATTATCCTAACTGAACAGTGTTCTTTAAAATATTTTTGTTTAATAATTGTCCATTTGTCATGATCTGGGAGAGATAGCCCGTATCTCTCTACAGATGTGATAATGTATATATCTTCTGGTCGGCGTATGATCGCATTATAAACCATTCGTCGACTAGGGCATATGACAAATGGAGCCTTCGTCCGGGATATATTTGCTTCGTAAACAAATGGTGGCTCGTGCCATAAATTCTTTTTAACGCTTCTATTAAGATAACACTTACTGACCACAACAAGGTGAACGAAAAATAAAAAAAAAATAAAGTAGAAATGGAGAATATAGAGGAATTCCTGAAAGAGCCCACCCCGGGAAAACTAAGTCAATTGAAGAAAGATGAAGTATATGAGATAAGGGAAAGGCTGGAACTAAACGTCAGGAAGTCGATGAGAAAGTTGAGATAGTGAGGAAAATTACAGAACATATGGTGGATAATAATGTGTTCAAGTAGGAGACCCTGGAGGAATTCCTAAGGAAGGAAGCAAGTCTGTCAACCCCCCAGGTAGAACTGGAGAAAGCCAGAATATTAGCTAAAGCTGAGATAGAGAAATCACGCATTGAACAAGAAACAAGAATACGCGAGTTAGAAATCAGACAAGCAAATGAGGAGAAAAATTTCGAAATCACCAAGCAAGTGAACCTTCTGCCGAAGTTTGTAGAAAGGGAAGTGGAAGAATATATTGATCATTTCGATAAGACGGCTACAAACCTGAAATGGCCAAAACAACATTGGGCGATATTATTGCAAACAGTATTGACTGGTAAAGCGCAAAAGGCATACGCAACGCTGTCGACCGAAGAATGCGCAGACTATGAAATAGTGAAGTCCACTATATTGAAGGCATATGAACTCGTGCCGGATGACTATAGACAAATGTTTAGGAGCTATAGAAAGTGATGTGGACCCAAAGTTGGGACCACGGAAGGAAAAACACGAAACACAGATTAGAGGTAAGAAAGATATATTAAACAAAAGGTTACAAAGATAGTGCAAATTAATAAGCGGAGCTTACTATGTGCTAGTGTCAATATTGGTAGTCGTACGCGGCTGATACTACGGTATTAGAATCTCTCTCTCTCTCTCTTTCCTCCTCTTCCCTAGAGTGTTATATCGCATACTTTATATAGTCCTGGAAGAGTCCCTGTTGTAGGTATGTTACGGTCTCACAACAGAAAGTTTGAGGGCCAAACATACGTAGAATATATCAGGCAGAAAGAGATATATTTAGACAGGTGGTGTCAAGCCAAGAAAGTAGTCGAGGATTATAATGGGCTGAAAAAATTTCAGAACAACCAGTCTGAGGAAATGAGAACATACCTGGTGACAGGAAAATAGAATCATACAATATTACCCATAAGAAAGCTTGTTCAAAGAATAGTACACCCATAATGCACCATTCAACACAGACACGTGGTAATAAAGAACCCAGGCGCACCGGAACGCAGATATGGGCAGGGAAACGAAACTTACCTGAGTGGGAAGCACCACAGATAGTGTGCTATACATGCAGAAAGCCGAGGCATATCGCTACAAATTGTAGGAGTCGTAAGGATATGATGAAAATGCAAAACCCCAAGGGGCAGCAATCACGAAACAGATAGACAAGAGTTACTGGCCATACACTACAAACGGTCATATTTTTTGACAGGAACGGAAAGAAGATGAAAACCCTGAGAGTGTTAAGGGACACAGGGGCCTCCCAGTCGTTAGCAAGGCGAAGTGATGTGCCGGCAAATATGAGATATGGGACAGGAAGATAAGGTCAGTGATCGGCATGGGTAGGAAACCCAGGAAAACGGAGATATGGAAGATTAAACTAAAGTCTAAGTGGAAGGTTGGCGATATAGAAGTCGGGCTGCTAGATTCGCTTCCGATGAAAGGAATTTCGTTGTTGCTAGGAAATGATGTAAGCAGAAAACAGATAGATATTGAGCCTCGAAAATTATCAGTGCATCAGATGAAAAGAAGGCACTATAACTCGGAAGATGAAAAAGGAAAATTTCAGCAGTGGTTACAAGGCAAACTGAAAAAAAGCTTCATAAAGAGAGGAAAAACAGAAGGGCGAGATCACTCACGATAAAAAGAATCGATAAAAGGAACGAAGTGGGGAAATATAACCGAATAGAGGTACGTCCCAAGCTGAACGTACACCGTGAAGAATTAAAAAAAGAGCAGAAAGCCGATGTGGAAGGAAAAAGTTATATTCTCTAGTTGGGGAAGAAGAGAAGAAGAAAACAAGTCAGGACGCTACTATATCAGAAATGGTATCCTAATGAGGCAGTGGAAACCGCAGGTCCATGCCGGAACAGATAAACATGATGGATATGAGCAAATAACAGTCCCTACAAGGTACCGTAAGGAGATATTATCTATAGCATATGATAGCCAGTGGGCTGGACATTTGGGCGTGGCGAAGACGCACGACAGAGTTACTAAATATTTCTACTGGCCGGAAATAAGGAGAGATGTAAGGTCATTTTGTCAGACATGTCAAACATGCCAAGTTGCAGGCAAACCTAACCAGGCGATTCCAAAAGCGCCCTTACAACCAATACCAGCCATGGAAGAACCATTCAACAGAATTATAGTTAACTGTGTTGGACCTTTACCGCGAACCAAAAATTCGTACAAACATCTGTTAACCACAATGTGCTCTTCAACTAGGTACCCTGAAGCAATTCCGTTAAAGGAACATATCGGCAAAGAAGGTAGCGGACGCCTTAGTAAACTTTTGCACGAGAATGGGCTTGCCTAAAATTATACAGATGGATCAGGGATCCAATTTTACATCAAGTTTATTCAAGGAGGTCAAGTCATTTTGGGAGTTACGCATGTGAAATCGAGTGCATATCATCCACAATCTCAGGGAGCGCTGGAGCGATTTCATGCTACCATGTTGAGGACGTACTGCATGGCGAATCAGGAAGATTGGGTTAAGGGAGTACCCTTTGTGTTATTCGCAATGCGTGAAGCAATTCAGGAATCCACAGGATTCAGCCCGTTCGAGTTAATTTTGGGGCATAGAGTGAGGGGACCACTCCAGTTATTACAAGAAAAATGGATGCTAGATCAGCCTAGGCGTGGCAATATGCATGAGTATGTAGCGAATATAAGACAGAAGTTGAAAGCTGCGCAAGAACTGGCAAGGAAGCATCTGCGAAATAATCAGATGAATATGAAGGAGAAATATGATTAAAAGGCAGTTGATAGGCAATTCAAAGAAGGTGATGAAGTACTCCTGATGTTACCTTCGAACGGTCGACCATTTGAGGCAAAGTACCAGGGGCCGTTCAAAGTACTGAAAAAACTGAACAGTTTGAATTATTTGGGTACATATGCCCAACCGAAGGAAAAGTAGCATGAAATGCCATGTAAATATGTTGAAAATTTTTTTGTAAAGAGAGGAAGAACAAGCAATAATGCTAGTGAGTGAACAATAGAAAGAGAAGGTAGAAAGATACAGGAAGGTAACCACTGGATAGAAAAGGACCAGCCTCTTAAATTAGAAAATTCCAGAATATTGGAAAATCTGGAGGAAAAGTTGGCTCATCTTACTGATGAGGTAAAGCAGAAACTGGGAACTTTAATAAATAAATATCAGGATATATTCTCGGATACACCCCAGCAGACCGATGCCGCAGTACATGATATAATATTGACGTCGGAACAACCGATCAAACAGCATCCATATCGCCTAAACCCCAGAAGGTTGAAAGTTATGAGAAAAGAAATTAAATATATGATGAAACACGGAATTATTGAGCCTAGTCAAAGTGAATGGGCATCACCCTGTGTGTTAATAGACAAGCCGAATGGCACTGTACGGTTTTTTTGTACGGACTATAGAAAAGTGAATAGCATCACGAAGGCAGATGCCTATCAATCCCCCAGGATGGAGGATTGTATCGACCAAATTGGTCAGGCTAAATATATCACCAAACTAGATATGCTGAAAGGATATTGGGCCGTATCGTTAACTGACAAACCGAAAATGATATCAGCGTTTGTAACCCCAGATGGAGCTTATCAATATCGAGTTATGCCCTTCGGTATGAGGAACTCGCAAGCTACGTTCGTACGTCTAATCAATAGATGTTTGTCCGATATTCCAGGAGTTGGTGCATATATCGATGATGTAATTCACAGTGACACGGAGAGTGAACATCTGGATACGATGCAGAAGGTCTTTGAAAGATTAAAAGAGGCAAAGTTGACAGTAAATCTTGGCAAGAGTGAATTTTGTAATGCCAAAGTGAAATATTTAGGACATGTAATAGGGCAAGGATGGATTAAACCAATAGAGGCAAAGACTGCAGCCATTGCAGACTTTCCTCGTCCCACTAATAGCCGAAGTCTAAAAAGTCTAGGGATGGCTAATTACTATAGGAGGTATTGTAGGAATTTGGCCAAAATTGCTACACCACTAACAAATTTGTCAGGAAAGGGGCATAAGTTTGTGTGGACCACGGAATGTGAGGTCGCATTGGAAACCATTAAAAGTAAGTTAAAATCAAATCCAGTGTTAAAAGCCCCAGATTTCAACAAGCCGTTTCAGATGCATGTAGATACCAGCGATGTGGGAATCGGAGCTGTATTCATGTAAGAAGATGAAGATAAAGAGTTACATCCAGTAAGCTTCTATTCAAAGAAGTTGAATAAGTTCCAGAAGTCCTATTAAACAATAGAAAATGAAGCCTTGGCGTTAGTATTAGCTGTTCTCCATTTTGAGGTTTATATAACAATTCTCTTTCTTCTACAGTTGTATATACTGATCATAATCCATTAACGTTTATAGATCGCATGAGAAACAAAAACCGAAAGTTACAAAGTTGGAGTCTTATTTTGCAGGAGTTCAATCTTCAAATAAAGCATATTGCTGGAACAGCAAATAAAGTAGCCGATACCTTGTCGAGATATTGAAAACGAGTGTAGATGTTAACCATAATTTGAAAAGGATTAAATAAAGGAAGGTATACCTTAGTGGAACTGAGAAAATATAAAATATGTATGGTTTGATGGAGCTGAAAACTGAAAGAAAAAAATGTATGTTTTAATAATATTGAGTGTGTACGTTTTGACAAAGCTGCAAATTTTTTTTTTGTTCTTGTATAATGTTATAAAGAGTGTGTACATATTGATATTGTAATCAGAAAAAAAAAAAGGAAGACGACCCATTGTTTATTCAGATAATGTTGGGATATATTGTTGAAAAAAAAGAAGTTTTTTTTTCTTTTCTATTAGTTTACGTTGGGAGATGTGACGGATGCAGATAGCTCAAAACACGCATACCCGCATATATTAAGGTTAATCTCCGCCCGACAACAGAAGAGGTCACGTGGGAGTCTCGAGACATTTTGGGAAGGCACATCAAGAGGTTAACTGACCCAGTTACCCGTAGCAACAGACGTCTAGACAGAAGCTAGACAGGGGACTGACGTAAGGTCATGAAGCAACAGGAACTGGAATTCGCGCCAAAATGCAGGACTAATGGGGATTAGAAAATTACTTGGAAGTCAGTTGTTGTCTTGTCTTTGAAGGAGCAAGACTCGAAATCGAAGCGCTGATAACTTATGGAAGAAAAGATGAGACTCATTTGGATAATGATGGAACTTGCCGATTCATCCCAAGCAACGCTGAGAATACAACCTGCGTTTGAAGAAATAAAAGAGAAACCAGAGAGAGGAAGAAAGTGTATATCCCTGTTGCAGTTTTAACCGTATTTGAGGCTGAACTGTATACAGAAGAAGAAAGAAAAAAAAAAAAAAACAGAGAGAGGAAGAATGTGTATATCTCTGTTACAGCCGGACCGGGTGTGAAATTGGATTTGTGCAAAGAAAAAAAAAAGAAAAAAAAAAGAAAGAAAAGAGGAAACGTGAGAGAGAAAAGAAAGGACAATGAGAAAAAGAGAGAACTGAATATAAAAATAAGTAACTATATGTTTTGGACCCGTGTTAGAAAGATACACATGCATCCATAAATATTATGTTCTCACAAACACCTTTCCACATGTCAAAATAGAAATATGTAAATCCTATCCCATGTCTTTTGGTTATGCGTTGATTTCTGCATTCGTAGTTATTCATCCTTTTTTTTTTATCCGTTCGGGTTCAGTCGAATCCAATTGGATTTGGACATATTTTGGTATCCCAACATAAGTCATGAGATTCTGGTCGTCGGATGTTTTACTCATGCATATATTTTTCTTTTACTTTAATATTTTGTGTATATGTACATATTAAAATTCTTATACCAAAATTCATTACGCCTTATCGTTCATCCTTGAATTGTGGATTAGTACTCGTGTTGAAACCGAAGCGAACCTGGGAAAAGATTACTGTTCGATTATCCTAACTGAACAGTGTTCTTTAAAATATTTTTGTATAATAATTGTCCATTTGTCATGGTCTGGAAGAGATAGCCCGTATCTCTCCACAGATGTGATAATGTGGTCGGCGTATGATCGCATCATAAACTATTCGTCGACTAGGGCATATGAATATATATATATATATATATATATATATTGTTATAAACCTGTAAAAAATTTTTCCGTCAACCAATATGAATCAAATCACAAAAAAAATCCATGACGATAGTCAACCGTTTTTAAACAATATATATATATATATATATATATATATATATATATATATATATATATATATATATATATATATAAATTGGTGTATAAAAAAATTTAACCAAAAAAATACTATTCTTAAAAAGAGTCATACCAAATATCATTTTTTTTCGAAAATATAAAAGTTCTCAAATCATGTTCGTTAAAAATCCATGAACGATAGTAAATCAAAGCATCTTGAACAATATATTCAATATATATATATATATATATATATATATATATATATATATATTTATATATATATATATGTATATATATATATATATATATTTATATATATATATATATATATATGTATATATATATATATATATATATATATATATATACATGCACACACACACACACACACACACACACACACACACATATATATATATATATATATATATATATATATATATATATATATATATATATATATATACATGGATATATGTAATCCATTGAGGCCTATAATAGCACGCCCAAATTGTGAGACACCATATAAGCATTTTTCTAGACATCTTATTGAAACCTCTTATCAAATATTAAGGGTTTTATTTCAGATGATCTAGATTTTCTGAATCATCTTCCTAACGAGATAAACCATAATATTTACATAGTCTCTATGGATGTTATGAATTTATTTAGCAACATCTTACATGATTACGGAATAGAGGCTATAAAATAATGGCGAGAGACCTTTCGCCATGATCTACCAAACCGTATCAAAGGAAAGTTTATAATAGAAAGCCTAGAATTCATCTTAAAATAAAATTATTTCAAGTTCAAGGAAATACCCTACCGACAAAAACCAGGAATAGCCAAAGGGGCAAAGTTTGCACCAAAACATACCAACCTAATCATGAGATGCCATGAACTAAAAATTAATGACAGAACCTCGCAAATCTAAGGAATCACTTCATTTGAAACATAAAAGACAAATGGAAACGATATCTAGATGTTTTTTTTTTATTCTGTAGAATGAAAGTCTGTATAAACTAAACTATAATTTAAAACATGCATTAATAATATAAATGCTAGCATAATATTCACTAAGGAGCAACAGCAACAAAAAAAACTTCCCTTTGTAGACATATTAATAACAAAAACAAACACTAAACTAGAAACTGCCATATACTTTAAACCGATTGACCCTCGATAACATCTGCTTTTTACATCTTCCCACCGGAAACACACATTCCACTCAATCTATCCAAGCGATTATGCACAATAGTTTCAAATACAATCACAAGCGACCACAGAATAGAAGAGATGAAAAAATACTCAAGAGAAAATAACCAATAGTATTGAAAAAGGAAAACAAATTAAAATCTACACACTCCGAAAACAAAAGGACAAAAAAGAGAACAAATGGTCATCACATATATCTCAAATTTCAACCCAAAGAACACAGAAATCTACACACACACACACACACACACAAACATACAACTGAATTTAGCAAGGCTACTAAAGGACAAAATACAAATAAATGAAAAGCCAATTAAAAAATATCCCATCATAAAGAGGAAACGACAACATAAATCACTAAAAAAAAATACTGACCAGTTCAAAACTGCAGAACACATTTCAAGACAGGTGGAAAAATTGCAGAACACATTTCAAGACGCTCAGGTGGAAAAATTCAACCAAACACTTTGCGGAGTATGTAACTCCGACAGATCAAAATTTAAAATTAAAAATGAATTCTCGTGCCATTCAGAGAATTTAATATACATAATTACATGCAAAGATTGCCACGAGAATTACATTGTTCAAACCGGCTAGTCACTCCGACAAAGGATGACTGTTCATCACCAACAAATCACAGACCCCCACATCAGAGAAATACCCATTAGCCAACATATAGAGAAATACGGAGGACAAAATCTGCCAAATTTTAAGATCTTCCCATTCTAACAGTGCGACTACAGAATCACTGAACAAAGGCGTATTAATAAAGAAATATTTTTCATCCACAAATGCAAACCCATATTTAATTCCTTGCATAAATAGATTCTATCAAATTCCTCTTACCATAAACGACATATATAACCAGTTGCGACCCTTTGATTTTCATTTTTTTTCCTAGATACAAAAGATAAGCATGGACAAATGGAGAGAGAAAACAGTTAAAAAACTTTTTTGAAAAGCGAAACGAAATTGGTTAAAGTAAAAAAAGTTACAAGAAAAGGAAAACAACAAAATATTTTTCTAAGATAAAAACACTGAAAATTCAATTGTAAGTAACAAAGTTTAAAGATTTCTCTGTAAAAATTCCTGTATTATAAATAAATATCACTATATTCAGTATTAGGGCCTTTTTTTTCCAATTCCCATTTTAATCAATACAATAAGTTTCGTACAGAATCTTTCTAACACAAATACGTTTTTAAAAAAAAACAAACACACACACACACACACACACACACACACACACACACACACACACACATATATATATATATATATATATATATATATATATATACCATTCCACCACCATTACTACAAGCACTTCTATCATTTTACTATATTATTTCCTATATATATATATATATATATATATATATATATGGATATATACTTATCATATATACATATATCAAGTATGTGGTGCAGTTCAATTTACATTACATGAATGTTTTTTGTATGAATATTTCATGTAATATACATATATATATATACATGTTTCATTAAAAACGACAGACAAGTTACTACGGTTAAGCTATTTATTTAATTTTCCTTATGTTCGAACAAGAGCTTTCTTTTCTGGACAATGAGTGTGTAAAAATTGTCCAAATATTTTATAGTTCCGAGTCCTTTCGGCCACAACTTTAGCCATTATAAAGGATGATTTGATTTTTCAGCTTAATTGAGTGTGTGCATTATGTGTGTGTTTTAGTGTGTTGGAAGGATGATTCAATTTCCGAATACGGTTAGCACATAGTGGCCTTGTTCGTACTTAATATTGTTAAGAGTTGTTTTTTATTATTAAAGCTTCCATTATTTTTAATCTTTTTTACAGGTGGATGAAGTTATTGTATTTGTGTTTTCTACTCGTATGTTTCCATTGTTGCATTAGTCTAAACTTCCTTCCGTACCACAATTGTCATTATCGCATCAGTCCACAATTATACTTCCTTCTCCCTCAGAAAAATTAATACCACCACATAAATACCAATATGTATTACAAATTGTAATTTCTACCATGTACATAAGTGCAATCGCCAAAAACAAGTAAATAACCGGCTTTGAAATAATAACAAACAGCATTAATAAAAATTACAAAACGCCATAAAAATTTATAAAATAATAACAGGTTTACCTACCATAAGCTTACACAGACTCCACCATACGTGATAAAAACACACACGGTAGAAGGTGTGTGAACGTGCGTGTATACGTACATATATATCTGTGAGAAAACATTCTGCGAACAAAATAGACGAACGATCTGCGCGTTGCCACTGGTAATTTGAAAGAAGTTCGCCACACAATTCAACATTGATTACCGCGACCAATTACGTACGTATGCACGCAACGACACATGGATGCGCATATAAGCCCAGTGCGAACACTGTTCATATATGGTTATGTTTGTGTAAGCTGCAATGCATGAACGTGCGTGTATGTATGTCTGCGTATGTATAAGTGGCGCTACGACGACAATTTTTCATCCCACTTCCATAAAACACCAATATACGCAATCATAAATCCAAAATTTAAAAAATTAATCATTTTGTCTAACGATCGCAGATAGCGGGAAAGGCAGGTTCACAAACTCACATCAATCCAACAATATATATATATAAACCCAGGTGCAATAATAAAGTGTAGATTATGAAAAAGTGTCATTTTTAGAAAACATTTATTTTTCAAATATAATTACAAGGAGAGAAATATCTCCAAATATCGGTGTTTTCTTACATTTTCTGAATATCTGTGTAACATCGTACTAAAATATTGTAATATGTTTTACATTTTGATCATCATTTCTATAGGTGCATCCGTATTTTTGCCTCATAATACATATATATATATATATATATATATATATATCGTCTGTAAAAAAAAATAAGTTAAAGTTAATAAAATATTTTTCTATTTTTTGTTGATAACATTAAACTTCATGAACATCACCGGTGATGGTCAAAAGTTGTTGAATAAAAACGCTGTTATTAACTTTGACCAATTTCTGTAGACATTAGATCCGGATGTGCGATTGCTTATAGAATAATAAAACCTATCGATATGCGTGGGATCCTATATTCTTACGGATGGCAAAGTGAATTGATTCTTTAACACAAATTGGTTAAAAGCTATTTCAAGAAATTATTATTGTTCTAGAAATGTTTAAATTTCACGATACTGGGACAATATCACGATTTAAAATATTTTTATAAAATGACGATTATCTTTGGCCTGTGAAGTATTAATTCGATTGTGATGTTGTGAAGTATATATACGTAACTGAAAAACATGACATATTTTCTCTATACGCTAAAAATGTGGCTCCTGAAAATCTAATAAATAAAATAGTGTACCTGAAAAACAGACGACAAATCTTTCCGGTTTGCTGAAGATTTTCCTGTACGATTTTTTCCTTTTTTGACTAATACAATAATTAATGAAAATATAATTTAAATTCGTAAGAATTCCAATCAAATTTGTGTATTTGCACTTAAGTACAAGATGTATTCGATTCTTGTACTCTTTGCAAAGAACGAAATGCTAAGAAGGAAATGTCTGTTTATAGTTTCCAATATATGTCTGTCTTCCATTTATTAAATATAGAAATATTCAACTGTTCTTTAAGAAATGGTGATTTGAATGGCTTG